GATATTTTGATAAAAGGCTATTAATTTGAATCTAAGTGGCTGTGACAGCTTTTAACAGAAATAGGGAAGTTGGGTGTAAATAAATCAGAATAATTTAGAGTCTACAGACGGGTGTTTGGAAGTATTGGTAGGTGTGAGGGATCAGTATGAAGCGGTTCCAGGTTGGTTTCAAATGCTCGAGTGAGATATGGCTTGTCACCAGCATGTGGGCACGGTGCAACCGCTGGGTAAGATCTTTAAGAAGGTATCAGTGGCTCCGGGACGTTCCCCAAGGACATCCGGTTTCCTGACAGAGCCGCCTTGAAAATCGTCGGACTCCGACTACACCTTCTCAGACTCCCGAGTACAGGGTATTAGTGCCACCGGACAGAAGTGCGAAGATGGGAGCCAGGTGGTCCGACTCGCGGGGGCGCGGACGTCGCAGGGCGCAGGCGCCGGGCGAAGGCACGGGGCGGAGCCGCGGCGCGGGGGCGGAGCCGCGGCGCGCAGGCGTCCTAGCGGCGGGTCCCTGCGGCTCGGGATGGAGGGTGAGTGAGTAAACAAGCCCGGGCCGGGCGGTGGGGCCGGGCCTCGGCACCTCGCCACCCGGGGCCGGAGAAAGGGAAAGGCGAAGAGGTCAGAGAATTGGGAGGAAGCGGAGGGGCTCACTGCCTACCTGGCCGGGGATAGCGGGGCGCCCCTCCCCGTTCCAGGGCTGGGGGTAAAGGGGCGACCAGGCGAAGAGCCCCCGGCGAGGTCTGCGTCTGGGGCGGGGAGGGCGGCGTATCCGGGAGGAGGAGCGGCGGGGGCGGGCCCGGGCCCGGGACTCCCGTTGGATGGGCGGGGAGGGCCGGTGGGCGGGAGCCCGAGCACGGAGAGGGCGCGGTGGGCGGCGGCACCTGCTGGGGGCCCCCCGAGAGGTGGACTCCCAGGGACCTGGGGCTGTGACTGGGAGGGCCAGCCCCGGAGGTTCAGCTTGCGGTGACTTCGGGAGGTGTTGAGGAAGGGGTGGCGGTAAAAACAGGGCTGGGAGGAGGGTGAAACGAGCGGGGTTCCTGAGGCGCAAAATGTAAGGGGGCGCTCACTCTAAGGGTCGCGCGGGTGCCCAGCGTCCGCTACGGTTTTGCGCGCAGGGCGGGCGCCTCGCTCGCCTCACCTCAGTCCCGGCCCCGAGTGAGAAAGAGGCTGCTGCTCTCCAGATTTGGTCTAGCGCCAAACCCTTGCCCACCCCAGAATTCTCCTGAGGATTAAATGATAGAAGTGAAAGCGCCTTGAAGCAAAGGCAAGGTGTTTTGGGGACTTGCCTGCTAGGAAAGTGGGACAAACTTATTTTGGTACAGAGTGATTCGTGAGAAATTGTTTCGGGGATGTGGGTGGTAGGGATGTGGAAAGATGTTAGTGCCGCGGGTGGAATATCGAGAGTGGGCTTTTGCTAAGTACCCTTGGCATCGAGCCTGGTGCTGGAGGGGTGAGGATGAGGGAAAAGAGCCGAGAATAGACCAACAGGTTGTGTGTGCGCGAGCCCGGCGTTCAAAGGGTGGGTCTCTTTCTCCACGTTTGCTGCCATCACGTCTTTGAAGAGCACTGCCCTCCTCCACACACACATCAGTGCTTTTAAGGGTAGAAAACTGGCACTGAATGAAGTTTCCAGCCCCAGAAGGTGCTAAATTCAATCAGAGGTTTCAGTGAAGCTTGTCTATTTTAAGCCTTGGAATGCCCAGGGCTGGGATGGTGTTGAGGTGGGTGTTAAGAGATAAGTCTTTTTTTCAAAACTTAAACACATTTATAGTGGAGGAAAGGACCATGTATAAAAATGTAATATTATTTTTGTCAAGGTTTATGCTGCATGTATCACAGTATGAATTAAATCTTCCAGGCAGGAATGTTTTATTCATTCATGTACCTTAAGCACCTACAACAGTGCTGGGCACACAGTGGGTGCTTGATGCATACTTGGAATAAATAAATAATGGGCAAGGTCATAGCTTTCTGGGAGTGGGGAGATCTGGATCTTGTTCCTGCCACTGACTGGCAAGTAGTGTAGACTAATCATGGAACTTGATACTAAGACCCAACTTTAAAACTTCCTGAGGTGGAAATGACCAAGTCTTCATTATGGTGTTACTTTAATTCCCATTGAAACAGCACTACCATAAGAAGCCCAGGATTTAAAAAATGAAACTTTACTCCCAACTAGACTTCTGTGAAAATGGAAGAGGTGAGAAAATGTAGTCAAACTTGTTTCTCTTACACTTACTTGCCTTTGAATTAGTGTGCTTTTTTAAAAGTATTAAAAATAGTAATGTCTAATTCTTGATATCCGAAATCTGGCTTTCTTAGTCCTGTGGGGAACATTTCCTGCCCTTGATTTGTGCCTTACATGACGCACATTTCAATAATATGTCTTTTACCTTTCTTGGACTAGGTTTAAAAAGTTTCTACTTTGTTGACTAGCAACTTCCCAAAAAAGTTTGAGGCAGCAAAACAAAACACATTGCATAGGGTAGTTAAACTAAAGAGAAAACTGAAGATAATTATGCTAGTTAGATTAGGATTGAGGAGGAGGGTTTAAAATGGAAAAACTGCTCTTGGAGATACTTCCATTCCAGAAAGTCCCAGGGTTTTTTTCTTTCTTTCTTTCTTTTTTTAAATTTGTCCAAACCGTGAACTGGGCTCCTTCCTTTCTCTTTAGTCTATTAGCCTTGTCAGTTGGGACCTAAGTGCACCAGACCTTTAAGTTATGAATTGTTTAATAGGTAGAGTTTAGTGTCTCTGGTGTGTTGCCCACCTGCCCTAATACTTTGATTCAGAATGTTAAAACACGTCTTGTTTTTATTGAACGATAATGAGCAGTCACTAAATATTAAGCTTTGTGCTAGTGTAGTACAGAACTAGCCAAGACAGGGCTCTAGCCTGTTAGAAGATTGCATTAACTCTTGGATACCAGCATTATACATCCTAAGAGCAAGCGTTTTCCTTTGGGTCTCATGAAAACAAATCCTGCTCTGTTCTCACCATTGTCTGCAGTGCAGGTAACCTGATTCTTTTAATAAAGCAACACAAAAAAATATTAATGCTATAATTTTATCTTAAATAACTCAAGGTCATAGCTTTCTGGTGGTAAGGTTCTTTCTATGTATAGTGCCCAGGAGTTCAAACTAATAAATGTAACTACCTTGGAGAACTGGGAGGGTATAACTAATGATGTGTTTAATAGATCCTAGTTGAAGGATCTATCAGGCTGTGTATCTAGCCACATAATTGATTTTAATGGGTGTATCGATAAAATTGGTCATCACCAGAATGACTCAACTGTGAGCTCTTTGCAGAGATAGGTTCACCCCCCCCGTTTGTATTTCAACTCCACCATGAACTGAAAAGGAAAGAATGAGATTGGAAATTTTAAAAATGTACTACACTGCCTGCCTCTAAAGACTTCCCTAGCCTGCTGGTTATCAAAATTATTTGTTATAAAAGAGGAAGTAGTAGAGTCATTGAACTTGCTCCTAAGAGAAGCTATTTCTGCAAAGGGGCACCTTTAAGTGGATGAAAAAACTTAATAGTTTGGGATTTTTATATTGTGATCTTAATCTCTCAAAGTTTAAGAATAGTGTTCCTTAAATGGGGATAAAATTAATTTTCTAGAGACTTTTACATATTTTATAATTTTTTATAGTTAATGGACCTATCCCCAAACATTTCAATGATATTTTCCCATTTCTAACTACTTGACAGACTGCATTCAAGTTTTAGTCTTTGAAGCAACTCGAGATCCAGTTTTCTTGGGAAGGAGTTCCAAGTTTTTATAGCTTTGTTTTCCTGTAGGGATTGGACATGTAAATAAGGTAGTTCTAATTTCCAGTTTCAATCTTTTTTAAAAATAAACTTTTTTTATGAACAGTTTTAGATTTACAAACAAAAAATTATAGAGATAGTACAGCAAACCCACATCCAGTTTCCCCTTATTAACTATCTTACATTAGTATACATGTAACTTTTTTTTTAGTTGCTGTTGTGTTTGTTTTTTGCTTTTTGGTATCATTAATATACAATTACATGAACAACATTGTGGCCACTAGATTCCCCCCATTATCAAGTCCCTACCACATACCCCACTACAGTCAGTATTCATCAGCGCAGTAAGATGCCACAGTCACCACCTGTCTTCTCTGTGCTACGTTTAACATTTTTTATAGTTAAAGGATCATATTGATCATTCTGTTACTCATTCTGAAGTTGCTTGAGTTTTAAAAGGTCAAATTACCTGCATATTTTTAATAGTAAAAGTTTCTAGGAAATACTGGATTGATCTATCATCAAAAAAGACTTATTTTTCATCAGCTTTATTGAGGTAAAAATTTACATACAATAAACATCACTTTACGAGTACAGTTCAGTGAGTTTTCATGAAAGTTCAAAGTCATATAACCATCACCACAACCAAGGATTAGAACATTTTCATCATCCCCAAAGTTCTTTTATGCTCCTTCATTTAATCTCTTTCCCTCTGACAGCTAATGATATACTTTCTGCCATTGAGGATTTGCCGTTTCTAGACTCATTTTAGTAGAATGTCTTATAGTTGTAGTTTTTGTGTATGACTTCTCTTACTTAGCTTAATGGTTTTGAGATACAGTGTACATGTATAGGAACAGTTCATTCTTTTTTATTGCTGAATAGTATTACATTGCATGTAAGTACTGCATTTTGTATCCATTTAACAATCTACATTTATATTGTTTCCACTTTTTGGCTACGATGATTAAAGATTTTATTAACATTTGTGTAGAGGTCTTTGTGGGAACATGTATTTTCATTTCTTGTGGGTGAATAATTAGAAATTGTATGCCAGATTGTATGATAAGCATATATTTAACTTTATTTTTTAGAAAACTGGCACACTGTTTTCCTAAGTGACATTCCCACCAGCAGTGTATGAAGATTCCAGTTGCTCCACATCTTCACCAAAAATTGGTATTATCAATCTTTTTGATTTTAACATTCTGGTGGGTGTGTAACAGTATGTCATTGTGGTTTTAGTTTGCATTTCCCTAATGGCATTGAGTATCTCTTATGCTTATTTGCCATTCCTATATCTTTTTTGGTGAAGATATATCTGTTCATATTTTTCCCCGCTTTTATTGGGTTATCTTACTATTGAATTATAGGAATTATTTATATAAAGACTTACTTTTAAATTTTCTGACCAAAGCAGCATATGTCATGGAGTTAATTCAGTGTGTAAGTGAGAATAATGAAAAGCTTAGTACTTATAGAATGCTGTTTTGCATGTGTAAATAACTAAAAAATAGATTTAGTAGAAATATAAAGTATCTTGTGTGTGCCACTCCTTTTGCCCAAGATAAATGAACGCATTTCTGCAAATCTGTTCCAGTGAATGCTGAATTTTTTGTTTGCTTCTTTTTTTAAATCTTTGAAGTGATAGTTGTTGGTTAGTGTCCAGATGCTACGAGAACCTGCCTTATAGCTGTGTTTCAGGTGTTTATTATAATCATACCTATCTGTTCCAAATAGTGTGTCTCATCTGCCTCATACAATGTGGAGATAACTGCCAAATAAACTTTTAGAAACATTGAAGACCCATTAAAAAGCCAACTGAAGTAAATATTGGCTCATGGTCACATGATCACTGTAATTATAAAAGGGGGAAGTGTGGCTTATTTTACATCATAATTGGTTAAAACTCAATGGCATTTTTGTGTATATGTATATACTCCTCTGCCTAAATAAAGCCCTTAAGTAAAATTAGAAATGATGCCATTAATTATTGGAGTGTTGTGGTGTGTTTACATCGTCTCTTTTGACAGACGGTGGGAGATCACATTTCAGTTATAATGCCTTTTGTTAATAAAAATATTGATACTTTTCTGCAGCTCTCTTCTCTGAGAAATCTATGCACATACACCCCCTAGCAGCTGTGGATTATGTTATTTTCCATTACTTGAACTCCAGTTTTAAATAGAGGGAACAACCTGCCCTAAGCTTACTATATCAAAAAGGGAAATGATTTTCAAAAGTAATGGGAGAGGGGTTGAGTTCAAAATCATTTTTTTGGGAGGTTATGTTATCTCACTGAATTGTAATCTAAAACATGTGGGTCGTTTGGGTCTTAATCAGGGTAACCTAAGGTTTCTTAGGCAGACCGTTGTCCCCTACATTTGAACCGTTTTTTATTTCCTGGAGCAGACTATTATTAAAACTTGTTCAAGGAAGAAATTATATGAGCAACTATTTAATATTACATGTGAGTGTGGTGTATGTTCTTAAATAGTTTTATCATTCAAAAAATGAGTCCCTATTTTGGCCCCATTCCATAGAGGAATGAGAAGTATTTACAAGATGTAGGGGAAGAGAGAGGGTGCAATTCATAGGGAAGAAATTCAGGTCAGCCTAATTTTTTTACCCTGCACCCTAACACTCTGGGACTCAAATTCTGAGATTATGTCGTGGTTGTTTCATTACCTTCCCTGAGAGAATATTTAACTCACAGGGAATTCTGTTTTTTGAGTTTGAATCACTTGAGTTAACAGTAAATGCAGTGAGTCTCTCTACTTCTTTGTTATTCCTTCCTTCTTTTATTTATTCTTTAAATTTAACATAGGATTACGCCAATCCTTTTGGTTCTTCAAAGGGAACATTCAAATAAATTCTTTTAAAGTCCACATCCAATGAAATATTATAATCGTGATCTGATTATGGCAGAGTTTGACAGTGGATTTAAGTTAGTTATTCTCTTGTTTGTCTTACGGGGAGAGACTGGTAATTTAAAAATGGTCCTTCAGAAGAAATATGATATTCAACTCCAAAGGAAAAAAATGTTTTTCAGAAATTAAAAAAAGACCTAAAACTTTAGTTTTTGTTTCAAATTTTGGCTCCTCGTAATGCTTTCAGAAATTTAAACTGTTAGATGAAATGACTAGAACTAGTTCTCTAGGAAATCTGAGTAGTTAATACAGAGTAAAAACATAATCATGTAGGTTTTCTTGAACTTTTACATGTATGTAATATTTGTTCTTTCTCTAAAACAGTTGATGGGCCTGCTGGCTGAGCCTAGAAATTGGTTCTGTAAAGCAAAAAAGCAGACTCGGTTAATTGTGAGAATATATTTGTACACACGACTGGAAGGATATAATTTAATAAAATAAAGGCCCCTTCCCAAATAGCTTCAAGTATTAGGACCTAACTTACATGCAGAAATAGTGATAGCAGAGACCTCAAAGGATATAGTTCTGGGGGAGCATTCTACTGAGGGTATCAGGGTCTAAATGTGCTCCGCTGACTTAAAACCCCTACCTTTGCTCTTTTGAAAAGCTGAACATTTGTTTTGCCTTTGTGTCCTGCCATTCCTCCAAAGAACAGAAGGCATAATATAAAACGTGATACCTCTCCTTGCATTCTATGAGGTAGGTAGAGTGTGTTACAACATGTACCTCTTTAAATTTTGAATTTAATTCAAACACACACGTAATAGAGTGGTTTACAATGTTATATATTTTCATGTGTCTTGCTGTTGACTTGGAAATGATTATGCTGTTGGCATATCCAGCCTTTATTGCTAGGCATGTGGTAGATTGAGACAATTTGGCAAGTATGGTTCTGTAGTGTGGGTGGATCTTTCCATGAAGCTCTTTCATACTAACTTGGTTCCTGCTCAACATTTCTCTTAATCAAGGTATTGTGTAGGCTTCAAAATTTCCAAGTAATCCATGTTCCCAAGTATCTGCAAGAGAACTTGAGTGCTAAATTAAAAACAAAGTACCACAAATGGATGAGACCAAGCTTTTTCATAATCAGACCAGGAATTGCTGATGTAAAATCTTTTTTTGACTATTTTTTATGAAACTCATAGATTTGGGTTCTTTAAACTTAAGTTTTTATGAGCAAATATAATAGGAATGAAAGTATAACTATGTTTGAGTTTGCATAAGGCTTCATTTCCAGGCAGTAAAAGGCTATTTCTCATCTTTCTCTTAGATTACAGCAAAATGGATATACCAAATCCCCCAACTTCCAAATGTATCACTTACTGGAAAAGAAAAGTTAAATCTGAGTACATGCGACTTCGACAACTTAAACGGCTACAGGCAAATATGGGTGCAAAGGTAAAACATAATTCCCAGGTGAAAGTTTATATATATATTGATATAGAAAAGGTATGTGTTGGAGGGTTGGGCTTTTTTTTTTTCTCCTCCCTTGAAATCCTAACAGTTTTTACCTTGGCTTTGCTAGGCTCTGTATGTAGCAAATTTTGCAAAGGTTCAAGAAAAAACCCAGATCCTCAATGAAGAATGGAAGAAGCTTCGTGTCCAACCTGTACAGTTGATGAAGCCTGTGAGTGGGCATCCTTTTCTCAAAAAGGTACTTCCAGGTGTCTAAGCTCAGCCTTCCTCTTTTTCTTAGACTTTCAGTTTTTTTTTTTCATTCTGTATTTATGACTCATTAAAAAATAAGGAAGGATAATGAATACAGATACTATAGTCAACTTTGAATAAGTAAAATGTTAAATCTGTAGCTTAAAGAATGACTTTTTTGCCTACTGTTCTCCTCAGTTAATTATGAAATTAGGCATTTTTCATAGAAAACAAGACAGTTACTGTCTCCTTTCCTGGGTTCTGTGTTTAACCTTCAAAACAACCTTTTTTGTGCCTTGTTTGGCACCTCAGGTATTTTGAAATTCGAAAAGGAATGCCCTGGATAAGGGACAGGAGCATATTGAGCAAAAGACTATCTCTTACTGTTAATTTTTAAATCACTCTAGTATCTTAAAGAGATAATATTTTTAAAACATAAAAAGCAGAATGTGACTCTAATTTCTGTACTGCTTTGCTTCCCCCTGTACTGTCCCCATCACCTCTGCAGCTAAGTTGATGCCCACTATTTTAGGCTTTAGTTCTTCTGGAAAACTTTCTCATTTTCCTCCTCATCTTTTAGGACTTTCAGAGGTTGTGTACTACCCAAGGAAACCAACAGTTTTAGATTGACATAGACATCAGTTGAGTGTCGGAGGCACTGTGCTGGACTCTGTAGAATAAGTGAATAAGAGACAGTTCTTGCTTTCCACAGGTTTTGAGTTGAGTAGTTCCTTTTAGGAGCTTATTATTCTAAAACCTTTATCTTATTAATTTGCAAGAATTAGAAGGCTTGTTTTGGGATCGTTTTGGAAAGAAACTGTAATTCTCTCTTGGGTTGTATGCTTGCCTTTCCCTCTCCATGTCATTGCTTGTATTTCAGTGTACCATAGAAAGCATTTTCCCGGGATTTTCAAGCCAACATATGTTAATGAGGTCTCTGAACACAGTTGCATTGGTTCCTATCATGTATTCCTGGTCCCCTCTCCAGCAAAACTTTATGGTATGTATTGAAAACACTGTGGTGATTGTTTAAGCTGTATGATTTTCCTATGTTGATATGCTGGTGCTCCTCTTACGATAAAGATTTTCAGAGTATACTTAACAAAGCTTGAGCATACAGAGCAGAATGTTTTTGTAATGTATTTACTCTAAAAAATATATATTGCAAGTTGTTCTAACTTACTAGATTTTGTTCTCTATGAAGTGTACATTTGAGTTGATTCTGGTTCTTTTTTGAATCAAGTGAGACTGGGCAAGTTTCCAGTTTTCCCTTACTACATTGGCCCAATTTTGTAACATTATGTGCAGTTAAATAAAAAAAGTCTAAGTCAGACACTTCAAAATTAAGCAGGTTGACAGCTCTCTGCTGATGGAGCAGTCCTTTCTTAATCCCCTAACGACAAGATGCTGTGAAAGCAACTGAGATAACAGAGGCTCACACTTAAACACAACACTTTCATCAGAGCCTTTATTCTGGCTCCTACTATAGCTCATAGTACAGTTGACTTTAGGTTCCCACTGAGTGTGATTGACATTAGTTATAATAATAATTTTCTTATGATTTTGGGAGGCTCATCTTTGTATAATACAATATCTAAAAATTTTACAGTTGCCCATTTCCTGTTATAAATATTCTGGTTATATTGCAGATTATATTCTTGGGAGCTTCCTTTCCATTTATCTGTCTCTACTTATGAGAATTAGAATTAAAAGCTTTTTAGACTGTTGTTTAGGTGATATTCATACCTATTTCAAAATGATGTTTAGTGAATAAAATGAGATAATAGATGGAATCACTTGTGAAAAATAAATGTGTCAAATATTAAGTGTTCATGGAAATGTCATTGTTAGTATCAAGCTAAACATTTGGTAGTTAATATCCTCAAGTAGTTAAGCATTTTTTTTTTTAAGTAGCATTTGCCCCCTTCCATTTGAGAATTTTGTTAGCAAAACAAATGGCCTGTCTTTAAAACTAAGGGCATTTTTAAGAGTAGATTTAAGCAGCAAAAGAAGGCTCAGCAAAGATCAGATCCATAGAGGATCTGTAGAGGATTCATCACATTCATCAAGAATGAATCACATCTAGTTTGATTTCAGGTGGAAGATGAGACGGTTTTGTGCAATATTCCCTACATGGGAGATGAGGTGAAAGAAGAAGATGAGACTTTCATTGAGGAGCTGATCAATAATTACGATGGGAAAGTCCACGGTGAAGAAGGTAATGGTGCTGGGCTCTTTGGGAGAAAACTTTGTTAGATGGCTGCCTCTTTTTTAGTCCATCATCATCTTAACATTTATCTGCTGCCTCATGGTGTATACACTGAATAATATTTTAATGTCATCACATAGCTAAGAGTAAATATTTTATAAAAATGCTCCAGTTACATTCTAAAAGGAATTAGGACGTAAAAGGATTATACAGTAATCAGTGGCTGGAGAGAAAGTTCAGTCATTGTACAAATAAGTTTGGTCTTAGAAGAGTTTTCCATAAATCCATCCAAGACCATTTTGTTCTTCATTTCCCTTTCTTTGAGTATGTCAATGAGTAGAATAACCTCTCTGTCCTACTTCTTTGATCCAGATATCCCCTGGATTTCCCAGAAGTTGATTATATTTTTACTTTCTTAAAAGCAACTCCTTTGAATGTGGTTTTTGTTTTACAAAAGGTTGTCAGTGTGTAAAAAATGGGAAGACGGAGAAAGACTCCCCATGGATTTGCAAACCAGTAACCTCACCTGCTCTTCAGATAGTTGTGGGTGTGATACTGTTGAAATGCATTATTTATCCACAGCGCCCCCTAGTGTTCAAAGACTTTATCCTAAGTTGTATAACCCCATCTGGTATGGTTTTAGGAAAAAAAATGCTCTTTTGATTCAAGAAGTCACTGCTGATCCATCGTCAGCAAAACCAAGTACATTTTCATTTTATAATTCTTTCTCTGTCTCATTTGTATTGTTTGCAAACTTTTGTCAGATTTTGGACAATGCAGGTTGATCTGTGACTAAGAAGTAAAGTACCTCAGTAAGAATAAAGCCTATAACTGAATTTCCCACTCTAGCCAACTGAATTGTTGCGGTTGAAAGAGCCAATCAGATTATTGTAATTCTCTGGGTGTCCATATAAAAATGTAAATATATTTTCTTTCTGGGCCTGAGGAATGAAAACCTTAGGAGGACTCATGGAGTATGAAACAACCACTGCTCACCCATCTAATCTTCATGTTTCAGAGATGATCCCTGGATCTGTCCTGATTAGTGATGCTGTTTTCCTGGAGTTGGTAGATGCTCTGAATCAATACTCAGATGAGGAAGAGGAAGGGCACAATGACACCTCAGATGGAAAGCAAGGTGACAGCAAAGAAGATCTGCCAGTAACAAGAAAGAGAAAACGACATGCTATTGAAGGCAAATAGCACTACTTCCTTATTCCACTTTGAAAGTGACAGGGAAATGGAAGAAGCTAAAACAGAAGGCTTCATTGCTAATTAAAGGCTATTGGTGCTTCTCAGTGGTCCACCCAAAAGGAAGACATGATAACTGACTAATAATTAAGATAGTGGTGACCTAGCTGAAGAAGAAAGTAGACAAATTTAGAGAATAATGTTGTTCATTTCTATTTATAAAAAGTAGTGTGTTTAGAAAACATGGAAATTTGCAAAGAAGAAAATAAAATTACCCTATAATCCTGATACCTAGAAATAACCAGTGTTAATATTTCCTTCTCCACCTAAGAAAATATGTGTGTATATACCTAAAATTAATATATTTTATGTCATATATATATCTCAATTTTTAAAAAGAACATATATAAATCAACATGTTTATATATGTTATATGAAATTGGTGTTATGACAGTTTTATATCGCTTTTTATGTAGTCTTATAAGCATTTTTCCATGTTGTCAATATTTAATTACTAATTAATTTAATGTTTATATCTTACATTATTTAATTATACTAGATGTCCAGGGACATAGTGTCTCTCTTTAGTGATAGCAAAGTTATAATATCAGTCTTAATTCTTCAGTATCAGCATTATGATAGGATTCTTCTATATTCAAGTCTCTCCATGAATACTCCTGTTTGCACTAGATTCTATCTTGGACTGAAGATTTTGTTGTTAATATGTAGATGACTCTGATTTCCTTATTACTGGTAGCCTATTAGATAAGTCTAGGTAGCATTGATCTTCTTTATGTATTCCTAAACAATCAATGGTTAGGTTAACAAAGCAGCTCTCATCAAAATTCTGTGATAAAAGGAAAAACGATCAAATACCTTTGCTTGCTTACTCTGATTACAGCACTCAGGAGCTTTTTGTCATTTCCAATTCAGGCAACAAAAAGAGTTCCAAGAAACAGTTCCCAAATGACATGATCTTCAGTGCAATTGCCTCAATGTTCCCTGAGAATGGTGTCCCAGATGACATGAAGGAGAGGTAGGGAAAGGTCTCCCACTCAGGCCATGTAGGATGTTTGGGCAGAACTTTTATTCAAGCCTATTTTTGGTTAATAAAACATTGCTTATGGTAAGTGCACTGTGATTTCTCCATACTTCCTTGCTACCTCTAATGCCCATTCCCATGTTAAGGGTCACCATTTGCTGGCTTTTGAGTAAGTCTGGGCAGATAATTTTTCAAATTCTGCTAGTCTTCTTGTGAGTTACTCTAGCACCATACTTAACCAAATCTTTCCCTTTCTTTACTTTCAGACATATGCCCAGCCCAGCATAATTACAATGGTGTACCCACTTACACACCATTCTGTCATCAACAAGATCCATCAAAAATACCATCCTCCCTTGGCTGATTGTACCTACATGACTATCAGTATTCAGTCTGTATTTTCCCAGTGGTTCCCTTGGAAGGAACTCTTTATCTCTCTTTTCTTAAATAGGTATCGAGAGCTAACAGAGATGTCAGACCCCAATGCACTTCCCCCTCAATGCACACCCAACATTGATGGCCCCAATGCCAAGTCTGTGCAGCGGGAACAGTCTCTGCACTCCTTCCACACACTTTTTTGCCGGCGCTGCTTCAAATATGACTGCTTCCTCCACCGTGAGTTGGGCTACTCTGAAATGTTCTCTTGTTTTGCATCCCCAGCCACCATTTCCTTCTTTTTATTTTAGTTTATCATACAGAGTTCCTGTCTTCTGATCTGATGATAGTTTTACAGAGGCCAGTTCTATTTTCACTTACTCAGTTTTAGTGCAATATGCTTTGCATGGTCAGATCAGAATAATCAGCATCATAATTGTCCCTGAGGACCTCCTACCTTTGAAAGAATTGTGTTGACATCAGAAATTATTAAATTTTGTGCACCTTGATGGTAGCTGTTTATATCTGAATTCTCCTACAATAGTTCCCTAGTTAAATTCCATTCCTCCCCATCTTATCAAGTGATGAACCATTGGAAACGTGACAGTTTTGTGTTTTCCAGCTTTTCATGCCACTCCTAATGTATATAAACGCAAGAACAAAGAAATCAAGATTGAACCAGAACCCTGTGGTTCAGACTGCTTCCTTTTGCTGGTATGTTCTAAAGCTGTTCTGCCTTTGTTAACTTTGTTGAAAATTGAGCAGGAAGTGGTTCTTGAGCTCTCTGCCCTGGGAACACAAATCAAGTGAGCCAGTATATAGCACTCTGGCAGTCATAAAGTACAAATAAGCCTGACTTTTGCTATTAAGGAGCTCCCAGATACTGAGGCCGTAGGACTTGGAAGTTAGTCTAATGGAATGAGGTTAGAAGAACATTGGAGGCTTTCCTTCTCTAAATGTCATCTATTCAGATTTTAGAGTCTGAAACTGTATTGTTTGAATTGGGGCTGTATGTGCTTGCCTGTGTGTATGTTTGTTACACCATTTTCTTGGCTGTCTTCTTTTAAATGCATGTACACAATTTGCTTTGAAGGTGCTGTGCTGTCTTACTGTGAAGTACTCAACTAGGTGGGCCCTTGCTGATGGACAGACCTTATGCAGTAGCATATATTCTCCTGCATTCATGTGAGGAGGCAGTCCACTGAGAGCTAGGAGAGAATAGGTTCAGTTAGACTTGCCAAAGACACAGTTTTGCTATTTAGACAATATGGTGAGCCTAGGTAAAGAATAAAATGCCTTGATAAAATTTCTGCTACCAATTAAAATAAGGTTAGACAACCAAGTACCTTTGGGACCATCTTTTGTGGCATAATAGAAGGAAAATTGGTAGAGAATTGCCATCGGGTATACATCTGAAAAAGGGGCCACATGTTAAAGCAAAAGAATAAATAAACGTGATCTGATTTATTTTTTCCCTCATATGTATTGACTCCTTCCTATGTGCCAAGTACCATGCTAGCCTTTAACATATATTATCTTATTTTCATGCTCACAACAGCATCCTGAAATGGAAAAACTATAGGTTATAGAAGTTACATATTTTGCCTAAAGCTAGTATGTCAGTGGTGTGACAATGACGAAATTCAAGCTCTGATCTAACTCTATTGTTCATGCTTTTTAAATTACTCCATGTTACATCAATATGCCCAAATTAGTGTAACTTAAAAGGATATTGTCTTTCACAGAGTAGTTACCCTGGGATCCTGCCCATGTATCACAACGATGCTGCCAGTGCCCAAACTGTTTGTGTGTTACAGAAGCATGGTTTTCCTTTATTGCTTTTTAGAAATCAGTACATACTTAAATATAATTCTGGACTCTTCCCCCAAACTTTTTATTAAGAATATTTTCAGTCATGCAAAGAAGCTGAAAGATATCTTCTTTTTGGATTTAGTAAAATTTTGTCCATATTTGCTTTATCTCTGTGTTTGTGTTTGTGTATCTTCTGCTGAGCCACTTAAAATAGTTTGCAGATATTGTGACGTTCATTTGCTGAGTATTTCAGCATCTCCTGAACATACACTCCATTACATAACCACATTATTACAGCTAAGAAAATTAACAAGAATTTCCTATCGCCTACCCATTCCATATTTAGTTTTTCTTAGCTGTCCCCAGAATAGCTAGGTTTTGCTTTCTTTTTAAACCAAGATTTCCAGTCATGAATCCTGTTTGGTTATTGTGTATTTTCAGTCTCTTTTAATCTTAAGTAATGACACCATTAGCAGAGATGTCAGACCCCAATGCACTTTTTTTTTCCTTTTTGAAAAGTCCAGGCTGGTTGTCTTGTAGGGTGTCCCGTATTCTGGATTTGTTGTTTTCTCCTGAAGTTATTTAACTTGTTACTCTGTCCCCATACCCCCTAAGCTAGAATTAGCTCTGGAAGCTTAATGATATTTATGTTAAATGTTTTAAATAAGAATACATTATAAGTGATGCTGCATATGTCACACTTTAGCATAGACCCATAATACTGTGTTCAATTGATTTCAAAACTTCTCTTTTGGAATTTCCTTTAGGGCCTACTAGATATTATCCTGACTATCCTTAGTAATGATAAGCCTTTATCCTTTACATGTAGATTAATTTTCAGAAACTGCTGGAAGCCTTTGGAAACCAAAGTGAATAGATGATCAAGCCAAATGATAGTTATTTGGTCTTAGAAAGAAAAAAGCATAGCTATAAAGTAATGGAACGTATGCTTCCAAATTTAATATATTCACTTGGAGGGAAGTTCCAAAATTAAGTAGTAATATTGTACAAATGCAATATTTCATCATTGAAACAGAAGCAGTGTGGTAGAATCTGAAGAGCAGTATGGCCTGGAGACGAGAAGCCCTGCTTCTTATACCTATTAGCTGTATACTCTCTCCAGGAGGTCCCTTCCTCTCTCTGAACCTAATTTCCTCATCAACAGGAGAATGTGTTCTCAAATTCCAAACAGGTAGCATGCACATGAATTTTAGATAAAACTCACTGGAAATCGGAGATGCATAGATGCACAGACTATATCTTTTTAAAGATTATTTTATAGTACAGCTCTTTCTTGAAAAGGTAGTAGTTGGTAAATTTTAGAATGCTTGTTAAACAGCTTTAATATGGTCAAACATGGTACAGAGCAAAACAAAAAAGTATCATTGCACATAAGCACAGATGCTAAATAATAAATAAGATGGTTTGTGATGATGGATCAATATAGTGACTCTGGGCCTGTTCTTATTTCCTGTCTGTGATGTGTTCATTGCAGGAAGGAGCAAAGGAGTATGCCGTGCTCCACAACCCTCGCTCCAAGTGCTCTGGTCGTCGCCGGCGTAGACACCACATGGTCAGTGCTTCCTGTTCCAATACTTCAGCCTCTGCTGTGTCTGAGACTAAAGAAGGAGACAGTGACAGAGACACAGGCAATGACTGGGCATCCAGTTCTTCAGGTACGATGAACAGAAAATGATCTTTTCTTTCCATGCAAGGACTCTAGTAAATATAGGATCACTGCCAAACACTTAACACTACTACTTTTTCAAAACTGTAAATTGTTTCCACAGGTTCACTTATAAGCAGTAGAGATAGGGAATATATTTGTTCCTGACTATTCTACCTTTTAAAGTAGAGTGAAGTACTTCTGTGTTTGTGCTTCTGTGTTTGTGGCAAGTCACTGATGAGAACTGTATTCCACCTTCTTGTGTTTCTCTTATTTCTTCCTTTCTCAGAGGCCAACTCTCGTTGTCAGACACCCACAAAACAGAAGGCCAGTCCAGCCCCACCTCAGCTCTGTGTAGTGGAAGCACCCTCGGAGCCTGTGGAATGGACTGGGGCTGAAGAATCTCTTTTTCGAGTCTTTCATGGCACCTACTTCAACAACTTCTGTTCAATAGCCAGACTTCTGGGGACGAAGACATGCAAGCAGGTACTGTCTGAAAGGAGCAGGAGCACGCCTGGGCTCTCCTTTCATGTGCTCTGTCAGCCCTTCTGCAAGCTTGTGAGGCTGCCTGTCTGGAGAGAAGTTTTCTGAGGCTCAGTCGCTCATGAGCCTATGCTTCTGAGCCATGAAGTGGATTCCCCAAACACAGGGCCTCCTGCAAATGCCGGGCCTAGCAGTGCTTGAGGATCTGCTCTCCTCCTTGCTGAATTCGCACTTCTGTCGTTAGCCACTATCTAACTCTTCTGGAATGTTTCTGCACTGTTATAGCATTTTTGTTTTTGTTTTCGGTTCCCCCTTTCTTTCTAAGCGTGTACTCCTTGCTTAGAAGGGACTCCCAGGTCTCTCTGGGGCTCTTCTCATCTAGTGTACTCCTGCTTCTGCTTCTGAAGCAGCTGCTCCCACCATCAGTTCCCTCAGTCGCTTTTTTCTCCAAATGTTCTGTCACTAGATTTTCTAATTACTGTCCCCAGTAGCTGTGCCCGGACCTTGCCCTTCTCGCTCGTACCGTCACTAGACTCACAGTCTGAGAGCAACCACCAGAGCTCTGGATGCAGGAAGTGACCACAGTGGGAAGACAGACTGAAGTTCAGGGAGTCCATCGTCAGGGCCAGTCTGTTAAACAAGAAAGGAGCACCAGAGCTTGAGCCGTGCTTGCTTAGCTCTCTAACTTCTGTGGCCTTTTCTTTATGCTGCTTCTACCTAGAACAAGCAATAGAACCATGAATTGAAGTGCCCTTTGCTTTGATTTTTGGAGCTTATACCTAATATCCCTGCACAGGTTCTTAACCTAAAAATCTACAGAACTGTGTGCAAAACAGTTCTTTGTATGTATTTTCCTAAGACGGTTTGTAGTTTTTATGGACTCTCAAGAGGACATATAACCAAAAAGGAGAAGTTAAAAATAAATGCTATAAGGGAAGTCATGTTGAGAGTGAACCTTCCTGAAATGCTGTCCTGCTGAAATAGTCAAGACTCTTACGTTTTTATACCAACAGAGGGAGCTAGTGCCTAGATGGGTGGTACCATCATGTCAAGTCTCAGGCTATTACACAATGTACTCAAAGTTGCTCTTCCTAAGAGATGGATACTGTTGGGAAGAATCATCCTACTCAGGGCTTGGTAGGCAAAGCTGTAGAAGAAAGCTACTAACCAGGAAGATATAACTGTACTCAGTATATCTCCTTTCTCCAGAGCCAAACACCCAGTATCCTGCTCTCTTTCCCTGAAGAGATGCTCAGTCAGGTGTCTGAAAGCTCTCCAGAACCCTCCCAAGCCGAACACCTGCCCAGGTCACTTATCTGATCACCTGGCTCAAGAAGGAGTGACAGGTCTTGTTGGATTTCTCTTCCAGGTCTTTCAGTTTGCAGTCAAAGAATCACTTATCCTGAAGCTGCCGACAGATGAGCTCATGAACCCCTCACAGAAGAAGAAAAGAAAACACAGGCAAGGGTTGGACAAAGAACTGTGTGTGGCTGACCTGTTCCCTCCATTCTGACCTCCCCTTGGACTTCCCATCTGCCTCCCTCTTTAGCCACTGCCCATTAGTTTGGGATTGTACAACTGAGGGCCAACCTCCTCATAGCCTGGAGGCCTAGGCCTTGGACCAGCCCTTCTCCCATTCCTGGATACTGTGGACCTTGAGATGACTGATTTTCCATTTAAGCTCCTGGCCAGTAAGACACGAGCTGGCTGGCCTCATGGCTCCACCCCGAGGTCATTTCTCCTCCTCATTTACTGCTGTGCCACTTCTCAACTCTGACCAGAGTTATACTTTTTTTCCCCACCTGTGTTGTTTTTAAGTTGCATAATAACAGTGTCTTCTGTTATTATGTGGGGGATATTCCCCAGCCATCAAACTGTAGACCTCAAAGCAGGTCCCATTGTCATTTGCCAAAATATGCTAGTTCCTCAGGGCCATGACCCAGACCCATCCTGTCTCTCTGTTTCAGGTTGTGGGCTGCACATTGTCGGAAAATTCAACTGAAGAAAGGTAGGGGCCCCCCCCCCAGGGCGTTCCTTGGCAGTTGGGCTCAAGGTCCTGCCCTCGGCCATCCTGCTGCCCCACCTGCAGCTGCACTTGACCTTGCACTGCTTCCCCAGACTGCAGATTCCTCAGTAGCAGCTGAGGATAGTTCAGCTTCTCACTAGCTGAGAAGACTTTTGAGGAGTAAGTTAGAGCGTTGTGGTCTCTAACTTCACAGTGTGCCATCTGCTAGGTTCTAGATTTCATTTACTGTTTAATGTAGACTACCCTGTGGTCCCAGACCATTTCCACTCTCCAGAAAAGCAAATCCCCCCCCTGTAGCTTAGGAACATCCATCATCCATGATTGCTTCCCACTTCAGGTGCTGCATGTGTGTCCCAGGTTATGGTTAGAACACGCCTCCTTTGATTCAAGGCAGTTTGGCATTGGGAGCAAGAGCAGCCAGGGAACATGGGCACAGCAGTGTCCTGGTTTGTCTTTTCTCTCCTAGATAACTCTTCCACACAAGTGTACAACTACCAACCTTGCGACCATCCAGACCGCCCCTGTGACAGCACCTGCCCCTGCATCATGACTCAGAATTTCTGTGAGAAGTTCTGCCAGTGCAACCCAGACTGTAAGAGTTTTGCATTTTCCCCTGTAGTCTACCAAAACAGTCGACCCAGTGCATCCCAGGTTTTTTCCCTTCATGCCCTTTGCTGCTTAATGGCCTTCTCATATTCTCTCTGCTGTGTTTTAAGCATTCTACAGAGGAAACAGGGTACTTTGATCTAAAATAGCCATTTTAAAAACCTTGGGTGTATGATTCTAAAAGCAACAATTACACAGAAATCTGTTGCTTTCCCAACTTTACCTTTCAGGGCAGAACTAAGATGCATGGGAATCTTTTTACCTAAGGTACACTCACAGCCAGCCTTTCCCAGGTACTGTTTTACGACATATACTGTGTATGTCTATTTTAATTTAATATCAGGTCAGTCTGGATGTCAGCAGAAGTTATGAAGAGGCTAAAAGTGCTTCTCTTTAACTTCTTAGCCTACCGTCCCCTTCCCCACTCAAGGCTGACCACTTTGATGGCAGCCCCAGAGCTTGCAGAACTTGGTGCCTAAGCAGTTGGGCTGGAGCTACCTCCTCGCCCATAGCAGACAGAAGTCTTAGCCACAGCGGGAGGGGTTCTTGTGCTGGGGAGGGCGGGGTGGAGGTGGGTGGCATAGAACGGATGCATTCTGTTCTCAAAATGATTCTTGTTTTGAGGGTGAATATTTACCAGTGAAAAGCACTGATTTCATTTTCTCTGGGGAACTATTCACCACTCTTTCAAATTCCACCAACAAGGGAGAGGGAGAGCATTGTCGGACAATCTCTAGGAAACACATCTCTGTAGTCAAACCTGCTTTTTTACTCTCAGGCATGCATGTTGGGAGGCACTTTATTTTCTCTGGGAAAAACTTGAGTATGTGGTTATTGAGAAGGGAGCTGCTTTCTTCCTTTGCCAAATATCCTTGAAGCCACACTGTTTACTTCTCTACTGTCCCTTGAGTCAAACCTGAGCCCCAGCATTAGCTTGCATCTCTTCCTAACCTTACCTATTGTCCCACCCAGGTCAGAATCGTTTTCCTGGCTGTCGCTGTAAGACCCAGTGCAATACCAAGCAGTGTCCTTGCTATCTGGCAGTGCGGGAGTGTGACCCTGACCTGTGTCTCACCTGTGGGGCCTCAGAGCACTGGGACTGCAAGGTGGTTTCCTGTAAAAACTGCAGCATTCAGCGTGGACTCAAGAAGGTGAGAGCTCTTCTCAGGACTTTCAGCCAGATTATGGAGTGAAAAGACTGAACAGTTCTGAGAAACCTCTTTCTACTGGTTCCTTAGAGAGTTTGTACATGAAAGTGCTTGGTAAATCCTAAAAGACACACTTTTACTGAATAAATAAACATTTCTGTCCCTGTGAGGGATTATAAAAGTGACCCCTGAACTTTCCAGACTAAGAAGAGCAGAGAGTATGGACATGTCATGTTTTTACTTGACACATAGCAGTGAATTCCCATCGATTCAGGTCCAGGAGGTCCCCAAGGCTGGAGGAAGAGGCGTCATGTTGTCTTTCACCCCCTTCCTTTTTTGTTTTTCCTCCTGCAAGAACAGAATGCCTTGGACCTTTTTCTGTTTTCAGATCCTCTTAACAGTTGCTCATTCTTTCCACTCTACTCCCCAACCACACATACGTGCCCATGCAGCCCACACACTTCCTCACGTACGCCCTGTAATCTGAGCTTTGACTCCTTCTTCCCCAGCACCTGTTGCTGGCCCCTTCAGATGTGGCCGGATGGGGCACCTTCATTAAGGAGTCTGTGCAGAAGAACGAATTCATTTCTGAATATTGTGGTGAGGTGAGTGCTATCGGTTTAGACCACATTCTTACCTGGGGAGATACTGATGAGAAACCCTGGTTTTCTGTGTGCCAGACTTCTGCGACTTAATCTCTAAATAACTCAGCTGAATTCTCATGTGACCCCTTGGGGGATCCTATAGACCTATTTGCATTCCTGAAATAAACCCCTTTTCTTCAACTGTTTGGCAACTCAGGCCACACAAGGGGGGTGTGCAGGGTGTGTGCTTCAGCTTTAATACTGGTTAGTCTGGGTGGGGATTGGAATGAAATAACCCGAGCTCTGTCTCTTACAATTCTCATCATCATTGTAAGCCCCTATGTGTGACACTGCCTCCTCCCGGTCTTTTCTAGGACAGGGGACCATGCTCTGAGCAGACTGCCTGATCCCCCTGTTTGTTCCTTGTCTGTCTCTGCAGCTCATCTCTCAGGATGAGGCTGATCGGCGAGGAAAGGTTTATGACAAATACATGTCCAGCTTCCTCTTCAACCTCAACAATGGTATGGCATCTCCTTCTCTCATCCAAAGTCTCAAGTCTTCCTGCCAGGTTTCCCTTGCTGTGTGTGGTCTTGGTTCAGGTCAGCTCCAAATCTTCCACCAGATGCATAGAGCAAGGTGGTGAGATTGAACTCAGAGATACCATGAGTCTCAGTTCACTTGCTTTGGGAGAACCTCCATCTCTGGGTTGTGTTATAATTGGAGCACTGAATGCTTACACCTCAGAAATCTCCCTGCCTGGTAGAGTCTTAATTCCAGCCAAAAAGGGGGACCCACAGGGAGTGCTCTGATGTGAGGCTGCAGTCTAATGCTGCATGCTTTCTCAACTTCTTCTTTTAACACTGAGCTTCAAAATTCCCACTAGAATGTATTGTTTCTGTTACCATTTAATTGATTTTAAATTCAGACTCAAGAAGCTGTGGAAGTGCCTGGTGAGCTAATGGTCTTCCCTGGTTTACTTTATACAGATTTTGTAGTGGATGCTACCCGGAAAGGAAACAAAATTAGATTTGCAAACCATTCAGTGAACCCCAACTGTTATGCTAAAGGTGAGTTCCCAGTGACCTAGGAAGTCGGATAGGGGGTTGGGGATGGATGCTTCACTTACTATTTTTCATAGATGAGGGGTTTTTTGTCCAAAGATCATCATGATTATGTCTGGGATCATTTTGAGCCTCTCTCTCTCTCAGTTTTATAATCTGCTTTTTTCACTGAACACATTATAAAGGTTTTTCCACAAATGTGAACCTTTTAAAGATAGTTCTTTCCTCACGTTACTAGCTAGAATAACATATCTGAAAGCATAGAGGTAACTACTTTCATTGACAACATTCTAGTCCCCCTTCATTTCTATTTTCCCTGGGAATTTGGAGAAAATCAGCCTAGAATCACTACTGAATGTTGCCTTGGAGTTGATGAGGAACTTAGCCTTGGGTTCATCTTACTTGCAGTGGTCATGGTGAATGGGGACCATCGAATCGGGATCTTTGCCAAGAGGGCGATTCAAGCTGGTGAAGAGCTCTTCTTTGATTACAGGTGTGGCAGTCAGAAAAGGTCCTAGGGAGGTGGCCCTGGAGGCAGAAGGGGTGGTTGTTGGAATTGATTGGGGGCCTTAAGGAGAGTGATGTGAATATAGGAGAGGATCTCATGGTGGTCAAGGCTTTTTCTTTGTTCTAGTCTCTGGTGCCTTGCCTCAGAAGGGGAGCATTGTGAACCACTGTTTGGGAGTAGGAGGGGAAGTGAGACAGGAGGGAATTCCATCTTTTCAGTCACAAAAGCCTTCAAAGTAACTTGGTTCCTTCTTGTGCTCTGGGACAGGTACAGCCAAGCTGATGCCCTCAAGTACGTGGGGATTGAGAGGGAGACCGATGTCCTTTAGCCCTCCCGGGCCCCACACCAGCGCTTATGGTAGCGGCACTGTCTTTGCTTCCATGCACACACCACTGCTGCTCAAGTTTCCTGCACTATGTGTCTCCCACACCGAGAAACCCCCCACCCACTTCCTCTGTAGTGAGGCCTCAGCTATGTCCAGTGGGTACAAAACTGTATCAGTGAGAGGGGGGACAGGGGCAGCTAGGGATTGGGCTTCCAGGAGAGAGAGTTGCAGAAGTGGGAGACTGCACCTCAGGCCTCAGAGGAGGAGAGCACAGGCTGGGGGTGGGTGATATATGCTTATTTTCTTTTCAGCTACTTAGGCTGTGGGCCTCAGGAATCAATTGGACAGTTCCTAACAAGCATTAGCCTATAATTCTAACTTTGTAAATCAAGGGTCCTTATGTAACTGGGTTGCCAGCATATCTGTCTGTGATCCTAAGACCTGGGGAGGACAGGCTAAGTGAAGTTCAGTACCTGGAACTTAGGAGTGGTCTGGGTTAATGGAAAGGCTGATGGGCAACACAGACTGAATTCAGAGGGGAGACAGGTCACCTTACTACCTCTTCTCTCCTGCAGAGTTCAGACTGAAAGAGTGTGGCCTCTAAGTATAGCTATTCAACGCTAGGGGAAGGAGAACTAAGTGCCATCCTGCCATAGACAGCGAGTGAGAGCCAGCCTGATGATAGTAGTTGAACTGGTAAGCCTGGGCCCAGCAGGCTGTGAGAAACCTTCTCTCTGCTCTGGAGATGGATGGATAAGTTCTCAGATTCCAGGAGCAGGTGCCAGTGCCCTGTCAGCTTCTTCCAAAGCTGGCTTAATGACTGCAGGCAGGCATTATGCTGCTGCAGAAGAAATGGGGTGTGCCAGGCTGGGTGTGAACATTCTGGTTCCTTGGATATGTAGTTGTTTTTCAGGCCTTTCATCCCCCTCAGAGGCTAGGCCCATGGGGCCACGTTTCTTCTCTCTTCCAGGTATTGGGTATTTGCCTGGACTAAAGAAGGGGAAGGTCAGTGTGACTTTCGTGTCTAAAGCACCTGCTGTTGGGGAGGGAGAATTGACAGTTTGGAGGTGAGGGACTGCCACATTGTACATGTGTAGGATGGCATCATGCATGCAGTGCAGATGGGCAGAGGGTAGTTGAAGTGTCCAGAAGAAGATGGTCCACCACCTGTGCTAGTCCATGGTGCCATTCTCTCTGGGATTCATGCAGAGCAAAGCACTTTATTTCTTTTAGAAGGTCTGTGGATTGAGGTGGAGTTTGAGCCAAGATCTCTGGGCTCCGTGCCCAAATCCCATTTTAAGGTAGGGGGAAAGAGGGGAACAGGTGAAGATTCTCTCTCAGTTCTGTCTCTCCTGCTGAAGCAGAAGGAGCTACCTTGACACATAAGAACTGAAGGAGAATGGGGCCAACTCTTAAGAGCTGCCCCAGTGTCTGTGGCTGGTGTGCTGAGCTAGCAGGGAATAAGGAGCACTGTGCAACGTAGAAGGATGTGGGCAGGTACAGACTGACCTAGAGAGTATCAGAATAGGGAGCAGGCTTCTCCCTTCTCCCTAGAGAATCAGAGCCTCTCTTCTCCAGTCTGTGCTGACCACTCCCTTCCAACCCCGCTGGCCATCCCATGAAGCAGAGAGTGGGGTTTTTCTGGCCGAGCTGTTGCCTAGGGATTTTGCACACACACACTCACATTCTTGCACTCACCACACTTGTGGGCATGCATGCACTCAGCACTGAGCACAGCCCCAGCCAGCTTCTGACAGAAGCCTCTTCCCACCTGATTGGGCCAGCCCCCACTGTGATTCTGAAACCTACATCTACTTGGGTTTGTATTCACTGGGGACACCCTCTAGCTGGACTGCAGGCTCTGAATTACTCATAAATTATATGGAAAAACCAGAGATAGGCAAAGAAGGAGGAGTTAGGTCTGTCTGAAGTGCCAGGGGCTGGCTATGAGGAATAGGTTGGGAGAAAATTACATCAAGCCTTTGAGAGGCTAGACTGACCCCACCCTTCTGTCAGTGTACAGAATCACTGTGGTCTATCCCCTTCTTCCCCAGTTTCAGACCACTAATACTCCTGTTCCTGCAGCATTCCCATTCTTTTTCCTTGCTAACCCCCACCTTTAATGACGGGTCTCAACCCCTCCCCCCCAAGACATGTAATAATGGATGGAACACAAGGTGGTGGGGACCCAGGGGAGGCTGGTATGTGTGCGGCTTTACTGCCAGTGAATTTCACGCACTTTAAAGTCCTGTGGCTTGTGACCTCTTATCTGAATAAAGTGGTAGAGTTCATTTTGGCAAGTTGTGTACTGTGTGCATTGGAGCTGCAGGGATCCAAAAATGATTGTACAGGGGCTGCTTGAGCTGAAGCTTTAGCACTCTGCTCCCCACTTGTCCACTGAAGTCTGGGGTTGGGGGAGGTGAGGGGAATGGCAAGAACCAATCAGCCTTCTGGTAGGTGTTTCAAGAATTCTGAGAGTTGTCACAGAAATTTTCAAGCCCTCAGATTAGTTCCCTTAAAATCATGCCACTTATCCCCTAACCATGACGCCAGCTACCACACACAGACTGGGGCGCTGCCACTCTGCTTTATTAGAACGGCTCCAAGTCTGAGCACAGCTCCGGAGTGGAGGCTGGATCAGCCTGGGTGAGTGACCAGCAGACCTCATGAGACTTCCAACACGGGAGAAGCAAACTACAGACTGTGCACAGGACAGAACAATTTTTTCTTTTATATATAAACTGGTAATTTAAAAATTAGAGTAATATGTAGTTTCTCTAGAGAGACTTTGCAACAAAAAATATATATAAAGAATATGACCTCCTGGGCAAATGAAGCAGCATCTCTGAACAGAGGAAAGAGGTCTCCTCATGCACTGGAGAGGGGGCCAAGCCTTTGAACAGGCACCAAGGCTATTGCATATCTTGGAAAAGGGAGGAAGAGTAGAAGGCTGGCTAGTCAGTGTGGCTAGCTAGCATCTGTATTATTCTATGTTGCAAGTTTTTTTATGGCTTTGGCTAAAGCATGTGAAGCAGTGGAGGTACTAAGGTGCTAAAGTGAGGCCTCTCGGTCTCAACAAAAAACAAAAACTGGGAGGGGGACAGCAGTGGAGTCCTCCCTAACCCCCAACTTAGTGGCAGCAGATGGAAGATGTCCTGCAGGGCAGGGGGGAGGCTGGGGGATATGATTTAGCAGCCTCCTCCCCCCATACCCTGTGCATCCCTGCAATCCCACACATCTGTCCCTGCAGAGACTGGATATTTGAAGGGAAGCAGTTAATCTCCCCTGCGCTCTGTTAATCCCTGGCAGCAGCTGGGACAGGATGGCAGGAATGGCCTTTCTCAACCCCATGAGGCTTCTCTTTTGGGGCAGGCAAACAACCACGAGTCTAGGGGAACGGAGATGGGCAGGGCATTGGTTTAGGCAGTGAGGCTCAGCCACTCCCTTTGGTCCCATCTGTAGCTCTGCCCCCCAGACTTAGTAGGAGGGGCCTCCTCTGGATGAGCAGAACGAGCCAAGAGCAGCCAAATGTCCTGACAGGGTCGGGTGGAGGCGGGAACTGGGGATTCAGAGGAGAGGGGACTGGTCCCTGAAGCCCTTCTGATTCATTCAGACCTGGACTCCTCCAGGATCTGGGGTAGGTTTTGGTCCCGGGGGCCAGGGGCTGGGGCTGGGACTTGGGTGGAAGCTGGTGTAGCGGTTGGGGCCTGGGCAGGGCCTGAAGTAGGTAGGGGAGGTTTGCTGACAGGGTGGTAGTCGTGGGTGGCCTTGGGCTCATTGGTATGGTAGGAGCCCTTGTAGCGATGATTTTGCAAATAGAAGAGCACCAACATTCCTACCAGTCCTAGCAGCAGGAAGGCCACCAAAACTGAAAAGGAAAAAAGAAACAATTCAGGGTAGATCTGTGGGGTTTCAGCTATGTACAGACACATGTGAATGCTTTTGGCGAAAAGCATACTGTTTGACCATATCAGGCTATTCCTAAGTGTCTGCTAGGTCTGAGTTCCTGGCTTATCACCTGCCATCTTCTATTTCTAATATTCCCTTTCCATATCCATGAGAGTTACCCTAGTTTCTCATCTCTCTAGATGTTACTGTACATCCATTTCCTCATCCTTAGCTATAGCCTCACTTTATATTTCATTTTGATTAAAAGTCTATAGTGTCCTCACACATTTAAAAATCTCCAGCCCAATTATATACTGCCTTGAGCATAGCCTATCATCCTTTGTACCGGCAGGCACCTAGCGCCTTAACCACCTCTTGGCCCTGGGGATATGGGCAGGAGGGAATGCTGACAGGGCAAAATTAGGAGGTCAGGGTAGTATTTGCATTACTCACAGCCTAAAAGTATAGCGACCCATCCCTCATCGTGATAGTATGGGAAGTCTGAAGAGGAGAAAGCACCAGTTAGGAGAAGTTGCCCCTGTGTCAAAAATCATTTCCCTTCCCTGTCCTCCCTCCTTCCCTCACTCTTCTGTATCCCTGAGACGAACCTGGGGGCAGATACCAGGGATCCAGCTCAGGTGGCACCTCTGAGACAAGACGTGGCATGGCCCCACAGTTAGATTCAGAGAGTTCTCCCTGAATTCGAAGGGCCTCAGCTAGCTCAGCGGTCATGGGTCGAGGGGTTCGGAAGTGGGTCTTCAGGGGAGCCACATTGTTGAATCGGACACCAGACAGGCAGCCTGAGAAACCTGGTGTGTTGTAGCGCTGGATCTCTGGGTCAATTACTCCCGTCTCTGAGGGAGAGGCAGGCCCAGTAAAAACAGGGCTTGAACGAGCCATAGCCTCGCCCTGGACTCCTTTTTATCACCACCTCCACTGCTTTCTCCCCTGGACTCCAGGGACTTCACCCAGCGCATTCTCCCCCTGGCTTACCCATAACACGCCCTAGGTACAAGGCCTTGGGAGAGTCCAGCTGGCTGTCCACCAACAGTGAGAACTTCTGTTCTGTTAGGGGGAAGTAGTCCACCTATAATGGGGAGGGGAAAGGAGGTAAGGGAGGGAGAGCTGGAGGCAGACACAGGGTTTCTGTCCAAACTGGTGGTGAGTCCTAGCTCAGTCCTAGGTGGGCAACCCCTGGCCCAGATGCAGGATTTGGTATTTAAAAAACCCAACAACCTGGCTTTGAGTTCTGCAGCTTACTAGTGGCTTGACTAGAAAAACCACTTTACTTTCTGAGCCCATCTGAGAACATCTGCCTGCTTAGATTACCTCATGGGTAGGTTGTGAAGGTGACATGATGTAACACACAGGAAAATCCTCTGTAAATTGGAATGTGCTATGCAAAGGCTAAATGTTTAACATTTTCCGGGGTGCTACAACCTAGATCGTGAGGTTGTGATCTGGTTTGCCTCCCTCCATACACACCTGGATGAAGAGGTTGCGGTAGACTCTCGTGATATTGACGCTGTGGGGCTGGCCATCAGTAACTGGTCGTGTGGTTAGTTGGTACACATAGGGACTGGTGCCCAGCTGATATCTCAGCTGCAGGGTCCCTATAGAGTGGGGAGGACAAAGAGGGGGGTCTCCTCTCAGCTCCCCCAATCCCCATCTTCGAAGAGTGCTTGGGTCCTTACATAGGTGGATCAATAGTTGTGAGAATGAAGGGTGCCTCGAAGGAAGCTGGAATTGAGGCAGAGAGCCTGTAGGGAGCTTACCATCTTCTTTGATGAGCACAGCCATGTAGTCACGCACAAAAGAGCTGACGTAGAGCAGGACAGCGGGGGCAGAGTCAGTGCTGAAGCTGAAGGATACCTCCTCCCCAGTAACGTTGTAGACAGGCCCACGGTACCCTGGCACAGGTCGGCCAGGCTGAGGGTAGTCAGGCAGCCGGTACCCAGGGCCGTGGTAGCCAGGCACGTAGCCAGGAGTGTCGTAGCCGGGGATATAGCCAGGCTCATAGCCTGGCACTGGCCGACTCAGCATGTGGGAGAACTCCTGGGCTGCCGAGCGCAGTGCTGACTGTAGGTTATAGCGCATCCAGGTGCCAGGCTCAAAGAAACCGCCAATATCTGAAGGCACAGGTAATGAGGTCAGGGACCCTATTCCCAAATTCAGACGTTGTATATATGTCACCCACACATGGCCCCTGGGACTTGCCCTCAGTTTCTGCCAGCACCAAACACACCTCCATTCATTTTTAGGTCCCCTTGAGCCCCTATGTCTTAGAATGGAATCTTAAAACCATAAGAAATGTGAAAGATCACCTAATCCAACCCTTGCATTTTACAGATGGGGGAACTGAGGCTCAGAAATGGGTAGTGACTTGCCTAAAGATACACAGTAAGTGGAGAGCCAGGATTCAAATCAAGATATCAGCACCCCACTGGGACTCACCACTACTCACACTTCTAAACCAAGATCAAAGGTCTTCTATTGGCCCCTAAATCCCTGTCTCCCTGCTCCACCAGACTTAACACCATTAACCTGCTCATGCATTCTCCATGATCAGCCTTAAGGGGGATGCAGTCTGGGTATTTGCACAATCTGGTATATCTGCAGACATTGTGGTGAGTGTCACCTTAACCAAGAACCGGTTGTGGACATGGAGGAGTGCAACAACTTGTCAAATAGGAAATGGCCTGGGGGGGCACCATGCGGCCTGAGGTGGATATGCTTGCAAGTGGGGGGTAACCTGTGTTACCTTGGTGATAGTGGGAAGATGGGAACAGCATTTGCTTGTTGCTTTTGAGTTCTTTTAGTACCCGCTAGCTGTATCATTCCTTACTTGCCTCACTTTACTTAACGCCTTTGGAGTTCACCCACATCTTCATCTGCCTGACAGCCCCAGCTCAGAGCTCAGGAGCCCAGGGGCGACTCCATAGTTTTCCCTGGTGCTGACTTTTCATGCTCCTTCGTTCCCTGCCCTCCCTACATGCCCTGTGGCTCCCTGCCCTCCTATAACCAGCAGCACTGACCGTGGTTGCAATATGGCCCGTCAAAAGCCGTGAGGTCACAGTCACATGTGTAGTAGCTGTAGCGCTCCACACAGCGGCCTCCATGGAAACAGGGGAACTGGGGGTGGGCACAGTGGCCTGTGCAGTTGGGTGAGGTGCCCTCAGAGGCATTGGCACGACCCTCCAGGTTCAGAGTCACTCCGTTCAGACGCATAGCCCTCAAGCAACCCACAAAGGGGCGCCTCTTAAGCTCTGCAGATCCTGGGAAGGGTGGGCAGGTGAAGAAATGGGTGTAGAGTCAGAGACAGAGATAGAACTGGCATTGGGAAGGGAACCAAAGGGGCTAGAAGAATGGCATAGGTGCCAGGGACTGGAGAGAAAGAGGAGTC